GGAAAGCGTATCAGGGCGCATGGAGGCACAAGATCCGTTGCTTAATCGTCACATACATGTGCTGGTGACTTCGGTGGCCTACTGCACGTCCACGGTCAGTCCACCAGTAACGTAAACATTGATAGACACGCCCTCTTGACAACCGTCCACCCTATATTGGCTTTCATAGGTGGCACCCTGGACTATAACCTATTCCATAACCTCGTTGTCGTGCCATCGAATTCATAATAAAATCGGATATATTCAATAGTAGGTCATATTCGGACATTTATCTCAACCTATCTGATAGTAGGTCGCCGATTCGCCTAACTTGAAGTTTCAAAATGAAATTAGAAATTTTAAAATCAACTACTGGATGACGCATTCATAGTTTTAGATGGTAAAGTGATCAAACCAAATGCTGCCTAAAGCAATAAAGGACAGCAACCATTTGTCTAAATAAATTTTGAAAATAACAATGAACAATTTGCATTCATCTTTTACGATCTGTCTGGGTGGCAAAGCAAACTGTTCGTGATGCATAAAATCCTATTATATTCCACGGCATCAAAAGACCAATTCTCAGCCGAAGAGCACATTGACTTTTATCAGAAAAACTCCAAGTGCATGCAGGTTCACAGCTTGACTAACCTAATCACCACTCACATGGAGACGTAGCTTTCCAATGTGTTTTTATCTTCCGTTTTTTTCTGTTGCCATCCAGATTGATCAATCACTTAACAAAGCCTTTGACAAGAGGGATGCTTTTCATTTGTGAATAGTAATTTTTAACTAAGTTTCATCTTCCTCTGGGTGTATTGGGGTCTGGTGGTGGATTCACGTGACGGACGTACAGTGCGTGACCCATCTCATGAAATGTTGGCTGAAATTCTGAAATGCGTTTTCGATTAGGAAGGATTACTTGGTCGCGGTTGTGATACTGATTAGCTTAAGGCATGCTCTTATAACATTTCCAACTCGGCAGGATGTTGGCTTTTAAACGCACTTCTTTTCAATCTCCTATAGAAAGCGTGCTCGGTGAAAAATGACTACATAAGTAGCATGCATTTTTCCCATTGCTTTTCGATGGTCTTGGAAATTCAAATATATTTTATAGAAACCACAAACAAAAATATGCTTTGTTTTAGTAAATCAATAGAAAATCACGTCTTCTTTGTATTTTATACTTAAGGAAGGAGTATAATTAGGTTTTAAAAAAGTTTTCTTATTGCCGAAAAATTTGAAGCCTGACCATTCGTTGCATTAGCACTTAGCGATTACACTCTACAAGGTGCATGCGTTCCGCGTAAAGAAAATCCCATATTTTTCTATGTCATTAAAGAGATATCATACAGGGTCCATAAAATTTTGCAATGGATGCGGATCATGTTGTACAGTTCAAGAGGAGCAGTGGTGAACGGCCAGGTACGATGCTATGTAAATGGACATATCGCCGTCTTAAAAAGTCTCATAATTAGAAACTTTTTTAAAACATAATTATACTCCTTTCTTAAATATTAAATATAAAGAAAACCTGATTCTCTATTGATTGACTAAAAGAAAGTATATTTCTGTTTGTGGTGTCTATAAAATATATTTGAATTTCCAAGACCATCGAAAATCAATGGGAAAAATGCATGCTACTTAAGTAGTCATTTTTACCAAACACGCTTTCTATAGGAGATTGAAAAGAAGTGCATTTAAAAGCCGACATCCTGCCGAGTCGGAAATGTTATAAGAGTATGCCTTAAAATAATCAGTATCATAACCGCGACCAAGTAATCCTTCCTAATCGAAAACGCATTTCCGAATTTCAGCCAACATTTCATGAGATAGGTCACGCACTGTGGTAGGTCGCTCACTTGCTTGCAGGTGTAGACTACGCCTAGCGTCCACTGACAAACCACCCAATTCTCGCATGTGGCTCCGCGAAGCTAGGCTCTGCCTAGCGGCCACGCCCCCGGTAACCGCCTTGACCGGCGAGATAAACCTGGTGAGGGCATCCGTGTGTGCATCTACGCGCACGGTAGGGTCGACTTCGCTGATCGGATAGATCTTCGCATCGGCATCGTCGAGACAAGGCTCCGTCTGGTACACCGTAGGGGGCCACGAGGTAAGTGAGCCTCCAGGTAAGCGAACGTTGCTCCGCTGCCTTTACTTCGTTTGTTCTTGTTTGCTTGCTTTCTGTATGCTTTCGTGTCTGTCCATGTTAAAAACTAACTGCCGTTCTGTTGAATATCCTCCGTTGCGTTTGCTTCTTGCTTTTCTGCCTGCTTGCTTTTGACTGCTTGTTCGTGTCGGTCCCTACTGCAAGCTAAATGCCGATCTGTTGTTTGTATCTACTCACCGCTTATATTTCAGTAACCATTTAACCTAGACAATGATGGGGAAGCTCTGCATCCTGTCTCTCTACACTCCCCTACCCTACCCCTTCAGCTTACGGCAATATCGTAGGCTGTCCCAGGCTAAGTCTGGTCGTTCACCCAATAAGTATCAAAGTCGTAGTCCATGGTGTAATTCGGCAGCCGTCTGGGATGACTGAGCAGCCCTGTACAGGGACAATGCTGCTCACCCCCGCGAGGGGGAAGGGGTTAGAAAAGGTGTCCTAAACAAATGCTGGGGAACCACTCCGTCTGCAGGCTGACCGTGGCCTCAAACGTAAAACACACGGTCAAAGGATTAAAAATCGAAACAACACACTTTCTCTTTCCCTCCTCCTCCTCCTCCTCCTCCTCCTCC